AGTCAGATCTCCTCCTAACTATTGTCCAACCTTTCTGTACAGAATACACTGTTCCTACCAATCGGGCCTTCCCAAGACTTCCCCCTTCTCTTTAGGAACCGGGCCTGGAAGATCGTGGCTGTTGGGACCAACCTTAACACTCCTCGATACCTCCATTGCTACTTCTTACCGTGGGATTTACAAAGCGATCACGCTGAACTGCCCTTGTTCTCCTAAAAGCCTGGTACATTCTGTGAGGACCAGATCATGTATTATACGCGCGGACGGGCCATTCAGTGTTTCCAGCAACTGGGCCCGAGTCCGCTTTCAATCGTTGAGACAGTCTTGCTATCGGAGCGAGGGAAGAGAGTGCGAAAAACGTCTCATTATAAACTAATTCAAGCGCAAGCCACTAGCCTGCGCCCAAACCGTCGGTAACGGCGATGAAATTGTCGTAGAGGTGACATGAGGATTGCATTCTGACTACAAACCAAAGAATAAGAGAAAGGAGTAAAAGTACATTTCAAAAAAATAAAAACAATGTTATTGGTCATTTTTTTTCAGATTGCGCGGAGCATTTAAATTAAGTCATAGATTGTGCTTCTTGATTGGGTCGTCGTGGATACTGCCAAGTGTCCCTGTAGGGCTGAGCATAGCTGATTGCACTGCGGAAAGGCAGACGGGAATGTTGCCGTAGCGCCGCCTCTACCAATTGGTAGCACTTCTTGCGTTTCCCGGCGCCATGTTCGTCAATGGGTCGCGAGGCGAGATCGAGACCCTTGATAAAGATTTGTTTAGTGCCATTGCCAGTAGTAGCAGGATAAAGATGAGTGGTGTTCGCGTTGTAGCGGCGGAGAGTGTTCAACCTTGGCCTCTCTGAGAGGTGCTCCACCACTCTGGGTATTGCCAACTCGATACAGTCCAATGGGCTCGTAAGCAAAAAGTTCAACTTGTCCGACAGCTCTTCGAGGTAGCGAGAGAGATAGTACTGGGATGGAAGAAGTGAACAGAAGAAAGAGGATTATTAGGTTTGGAAAGGCTACGTTGTAATAACAACTGGGTAAATATACGCAATTGGCAATCGGCCAATAGTGCTGCACAGAAAAGAAATAAAAACAGATGGGACGGCGCAAAGGACTATTGAGAAAGCAGAGTAATTTTGGGGAACTTCCTGTACTGTCTTGTAAAAATGGAGAGGCAGAAAGTAACCTGGGTAAACAAAGTGTGAGATGCCTAACGTATTTTCAGCCTCCAATGAAAGAGAAATTGTGACTTTGACACTTCCGGGTCCGAAACGTGCACAAGAACGAATGGAATTGTGTATCGGCTGTCATTAAGCCACCTTATCCCTATCAAACTCTCTCAGATAGACCGTCTGAGAACTAGAATAGCAGACACGGTGCAAACTTTTAGCTAGCGAACCCCAGTTACCGTGGACGGAAATTATTACGGAGACAGAAACCAATATGCGCCCACGGCCTAAGGCGGGAAGATATCGTGACAACCGACTCCGCAACGGCTGTCAGGTGCGCGGACAAGCAGCGTGCGCTGTGGCTTCGAGCACACTTGACGACCGCTGACACATGCGGCGCAAATATTAGAGAACGCCTGTCAGGGCACGCAGCGTGGGAAGCGGCCAATCAGCGTGCGGCACACCGTAGTCTAGAATGTTCCTGAATGTCCGTCGTAAGCCATAGGTCAGTAACTTTCCAGAACTGCCAGGACGCCATAAATAATCTGGAGTTGGCAAGCCAACTGATCCGCTGTTTTCTGCTGGTCTTGAATAAAGTCCTTGCTCATAGAAACCGGTTCTGTCTTTTTCCGTCTACTGGTGGAGGTAAAACAGAAATACAAACATGAAGGGTTGTAGGAAAAATGTAATTATTGTAAGAATATCGGCTTTTTATTGAACCTTAAATAAGCTTAGGGAGGAAGTCGCAATTGAGAGATAGATAAGACAAGTCTACTCACCACTAACTAAGAAAGCAGCGCAATCCACAGAAGCAAGGCGTTAAGACGATTTACAGACGTGGAGGAAGGCAACCCAACTTGAAGATGCAACAATCTAGCGAAAACGCATCCACCAAATTGCTTTCCCTACTTTGCACCTTAAACGACGCAATCTCAAAATGTATTGGGATCAGCACCAAATTTATAGCTCAACGTACATGTTGATAGAGCGACATCTTACTAATGTGTGGGGAGGGACCGACAACTGGCTTTATAGGCATCAGTGGGGTATAGATTGGATAAAACACTGCGTTCAATTTAATCTCGAGTTTTTCTGGTTCAGTGCTTCGACCGGAATTTGACGACTGAATACGAGAATGGGAAGGCAATAAGCTCCAAGCTTTTAGTATAATGGATTGCAAGCGCAAGTCATCTACTAAAACGAAGACAGTTTTTGTCTCGAGAAGGCCTGGCCACATAAAAAGGCCGGGTGACATGATTGAAATACAAACAGACAAGGGGAGTAGAAGAGCCCCTGGCAAACAGACCCTTTAAAATAGGGGAAAAGCGCACATAAGCACAAGAATTTTAAGTTTACAAAGAGGTCCTGTTAAACAATCTTGCATCTGGGTAAGGCGCGGAGAAAAAAAAGTCCACAAGCAACGAGTCCTTACCTTGTGAAAGAACACCGGAAAGACAGAGCTGTCAGCAAAACTATCTGGAGTCAGTGGTCCCGCGTGTGACTTCGGCGGGGTGGACACATTGTGAAAACCGACTATACGGCTGGGATGTTGGGACCACGTCTAAAGCGCAGATGAGGCGGAAAAGGCGGCGAAGTTAGTGTTAAATTCATATAAAAGCAAAAAATGCTACAGCATCATGTCACCAACCCGACATTTAAACCTCCAAGACGAGAAAGTGAAAGCGTTCCTGGGCCCTGTATCATGTTAACGTGGCTACATACTAGGTCCATCCATGCTGTGACACTGAGATTACGTTCCACCTAGGCCAAGGCATTCACTGTCGACTCAAGTGATGTCGTATCCTTCGACGTATCCTTCGGGCTGTTCCTGTGAGTCCGACCACTCTAGTAGCCTGCAATGTCTGATCCCTTTTAGACAATCTAAGTGAAAAGGGGACCGGCACCTATGCGATAATCATTTAGGCATCTCGCTGCTCAAAACTGCCAGGGATACCTTCGATCTTATTCCTTTTAATCGTCTTAACAGCCACCCAGAGCAGAGAATGCTGCTGAAAAGACAATGAGACTTCCGACAAAACCGTGGGACAACCGACAGGATTTTCGCCGACAGCCAGCTACTAGAAATCTACCAGGAGATGCAACCCATATCATCTTTTTCGACCTGGAGAAGGCTTTTGGCGCAGTTAACAGTGATGGATGTGGAGAATAATGCAGAAATTCGGCCGTTCATATCGGTTTACGCACTTGGTGTGTTAGCTCCACGGCGGGATGATGGCACGCATGACTGACAATGGGACAGACTTGCGCATTTGCAATGACCAATGGAATGAATCAGGACTACGCACTAACTTTTATTGCCTTGAGTCTCACGTACCCTGCCATGCTGATGGACGGCTGTGGAGATGAGATCTCTGGGATGTGCATCGCATACAGAACTGACGGGTACCTTCTCAACAGTTAGCAGGTGCAGACCCTAGTGTGGTTGCCTACGGTTACAGTCCACAGTCTGCTCTTAGTGAACGATTGCGCCCTCAACACGGACCTCTTCACCGCCGACTACACCAAATTTGCACGAACAATTACCGAGGACAGAACTGTGTTCATGCACCAACCATCGCCTAACAAGGAATATAAAGCTCCTCGAATCAATATCAACGGGACCCGAGTCAAAACTGTAGACAACTTTGCTTATCTTGGAAACGCACTGCTCCGCAACACCAAAATCGTCAACAAGGTTGCGTGTGGGGTCTCCAAAGCCCCAATTGAAGTCATTTCTGAGACGCAGCGCCAAAAAACGTAGCAGGGAAACAAGTAGCCCAATCCAAACAGTCCTGGCGAGCAATAAGGATTTACCTCGTAGGCAAACTCTATATCTGCAGTTGAAGGAACTGGACCATCGTCACCATTGATGGCGAAAAGTGCTGCTGACTCCGTCTCAGGCAGTGTAGAAACCGTATGCTGCTTGTGATTGTAAAAGGGAGATGAGAGAACTCGTATGGGCTTGTCAGTGTTGGGAAGATAGGTATCTGGATAAGTGACCAAGCAAATACAGAAGAAAAATGTGCATTAGGCTAGATTGGAAAAAAGCAGGCCATGGGACAGAGAGTGGAGTTGGATAGAAACACTTACTTGGCGGAGGATCCCTCTCGTGGTTACTCCAAACAATGAAAATTTCGCGTGAGTTTGGAACGGAGGAAAGGTGGGAGAGTAAAAATTCCAAGTTGGAATAGTGCTGTTGCGTGAATAGAACTATGGTAAATCCCCTGCGTATGGAGTTGCTGTGAGGGAAGATTTTCAAACGCGAGTTCAAGGCCATCTATGGATAAAAAGGGGAAAGACGGACAACATAGAAATGTTACTTTGCGACTGGGTCTCCACGATGACCTGCTACCAACTGTGTTTACCCTAAAAAAAATTGCCTCAATTTGAACTTGCGTAGTGAATAGTAATCGTAACAGTAAGTAGGGTTTATAGTTCATAATAACTGAACATTTATAAAGAAATATTCTCAGGGGCTGTAAAAAAGGAATTTAAAATGAACAAGACTAAATACGTAAACCCTCATTTAATTTTTAGACACCCACTGAGAACTCTTAGGAAGAACAAAAGCCTACAAGCTCAATGCTCAAAGTGTTAGACTTCTGATCGAAAGGTCTCGGGTTGGAGCCTCGGGTGGTTCACTACTTGGAATTGGACATGACTGGCTAATAACGGCTAATGAGCTAGAAACGGTCATTCCACTCCCCCCCCGTCTTTGTCGACAATGCTATCTGCCTAAAGGTAACTGCTCGAGAATGAACGCCAAGGCGCGGCGGAACGAGTTAATTCCGTTAGCGAACAACAAGATTACATGCACTTGACTACATATCGTTTTTTGGATAACAGTCTGCTTTTGGAATCAGCACAGCGGGCGCAAACGCCAGCATTCCGTTGTACGAGACTAGTGGTAATAAGGGTTATATACCGGTGGGGTATTACGAGGGAAAGAAAAAAGTAAGTAAAAAGTAGAGCGTACAAGAGAAAGTAATAGGAACCATTAGTTAAATAACATAATGTTTAGCAACCAAAAAGCGTGTGATGATGTAAATGAGAAATACAACCAATTGGGAAACAAGAACTCTGCAAATTGCGGAACTGCGCAAAGAACTGCGAATTTTCGAGAGTAAAGTAAACCCATGAAGGATAGGCTTTTCTCCATTTTTAAAGCCGAAAAGCAACGGCATGTCGCTAATAAAACTACACTAAAGTTAAAGTAATAAAACTAAACAATCAAATAAATTAATCGAACTAAGATAAAGTAAACGAGCAAAGATTTCTGTGGGGGATCAGTGTAATACGTGGGTGGATTGTGTCGTGCCAACGTGGTTAAACAAAACACGCTTACTACTACGAAATAAGTAGGCAGGCAAGCGAAGTAAGTGTAGTGAGCCAAAAACTAGACTGTTACCGAAAACAACTGTGCTTCTTTGTTGAGAGCCGAGAAGATCGTCCTCCAACATAAATAAGTTAATGAAAAAGCCTGCCTCATAATACAAGGTAACCAGGATTGACTTTCATTCTGGAAGCTCGTGATAAAAATGTCCGGTCTTATGAGTTACCAAAATCATTGACGTAGTCCTCAAAAGTCCAGTACCCGCAGTCAGCTAAGAGCCCTGAAAACGTACAAACTGCTACCTGTCTACTGCGTGCAGTCGAGAGTGAAGATGCTGAGTAACAAAAGTTGCAAAAAGTGCAGTGACGACAGCAAGTGGCCAGTGTCTGAAGTTGGTAGCTTGGAGGAGAGCAATTTTCTTTTAGGACAGTCAACGGATAAGTCCTGCTCTGTGCCACAAAAATCAGGGCTCTTCATTCTCTTAATCCGTGTCATTATCGAACTATCTTTAAAAGTGGAGCCTTCGGCTCCGTTTGGTCATCAAGACATTGTTGGTTGCTGCGCAAGAGGGGAAAATGTCTCACAAGCAACTACACAGCATAGTCAGTGTAAGAACTGTTGATCTATTCGTTTTTCAGCTCGAATAACTGTTAGTACTGGTTGAACAGCTTCTCGAATAACTGTTCG